AATTAAATTTTTTTAGGATGCCTGCCTTCCAATTTATGCGAAATGTAATGGGGTCTTTAGTAAGATGTCTTGGGGTAGGTTTATCTTAGTAGTAATCTAGAGTTGGTGTCAAAAAATGACTGTAGCACCACAAAAAGCTCTCAGTCCATCGTGCGGATTTCCGGATACAGTACGAACTAAATACCGATGGTCAAATGCGCGCGTCCAGATGAAGGCGGTCACTTAAGAAACTACACGGACAAAGGTTCTCCCCCGTCCCTCCCGCCTCCCTCACCCAAGGTTTACAAACTCTGATGAGAATTTTTGACAAATAGGGAATTTAGAGGGGAATTAGTGCATCTTACTTACCGCGACATCTTGGTACCTTGGACCGCCGCTTCTCATGAAATACTCCCAAAGGTGAGAAAACGGTCCGTGACCTAAAACGTTGCACAAAAGGGTGAAAAGGCTTGGATGCAAACCACACAAATAAGGTTTGCTGTATTTTTATCAAGCAGATGACTGTTGGGCTGGCCACACATAAAAATAACCACCGAAAGCTTATATCCCCGAGTTATTGACATAGGTAGGCGCTAAATGCTCGCGCATAGTCCTAAACAGCCAGACAGAAAGATAAAACTACCGAAACCCGTATTTAACCGACTGGTAAGAAGAGCATTTAACCGTGAGAGAGTCAACGAGGACAAGTCTAAAGAAAAGGAAATAAGACTAGATTGGCGATCTACTGCTTCACAAGTGTCATCGACATTACTGCAAAGGTCTGTTATCATCATTATCAAGTTGTTGTCAAAGAGCGTGACCAGGAAGCAAAGCGCAAAGGAACCGAGCTGGACGCAGATGAAGAATTGTCATTGACGCGTGCTTAGCGTTTCCCGTGACTACCGACAACCGTCGATCATCTGTTTATCCCACTGCTCAGCACCCTTCGCTTTCGCTTATCGCGAGTTCTTGTAGTGGGCAGAGCCGGAGGGTATGGCACAAACAATTAGCGCCGTAGTCAAAACCTATTGTCGTTACAATGCTGAATTAGTACGTATCCACAGACCTTTCATAATCTTGGCATTACGTTTTTGTTTACGTAATATATTTACTATAGTTCTTGAGTGGGTCCTCAGAGGGGCCAGATGTGGCTGTAGACGGTGGAAACTATAAACTGGGCCTTCAACTGATTGCCCACAGCCATATGGGCGATCTCTTTGGGTCCTAAACCGTAGTGTAATTGGAGGCAGCGAAGACATCAACTTAAAACCTGGCTTAACATATGTCATGCTGGTATGGAGCTGATTCTGAGACCTTCGATATTCGTTCTGTTACCAAAGAGAAAGAAAGTGAGTAGAACTGTAATTGTGGCAATGGTTGGCTTGGAAGGGTTGCAGTTGGAGAGGTTACTCAGTCCAGTTCGGGACTAAAAGCCACACTGTAATTGTTGTTTCTTGCTGTCACTTTTATGGCACTGCTGTTTACGTGAGATTCAAAATGCAGCCTGTACTCTCTGAAGGAAACCTGGTACGCGCGAAGTCATCTCTGGCACGTCCAGAGAGACTGCCAGCCACCTCTGGTCTGCTCAAATTCATCTTGATCCGAGAAAACAGTTGGTAGCGCAAACTGAGATAGTGAACTAGATGCATCGAAAATCTGATTAAGTGGGAACAAATGCAAAGTGGTGGTAAACATAGTCAATTGCGACGGCCGGAGCACCGATTGTTGCATTTGAGATCATTGATGCCAGCCAGGTCGAACATGACAGCCGGGAAATACAG